AACAGTTGACCGTGGAATATTTAGTAGCAAGGAAATGTCACGGATGAACTTATTGCACAGGTGCCAACCTATCATGGTACCACGCTTGAATTCACTGATCTGAGAGCGACCCATTCTTTCACAAATGTTTGTAGAAGCAGTCTGCATGCCTAGGGGCTTGATTGCTCTCCAAATCAAGGAACATTTCTGAACTTAGAGGTTGCTGTTAGAGCTCCTTCCTTCCACTAGGGGTCACTGCTACTTGCATGGACAAACACGTGCTGCGTGTGAACTGAAAGTCATTTTAAAAGTTTAAATAGATTCAGTATAGAAGTATGGGAAAAGTTGAAGGAATACAATTTATTTTACTGAAAACTATGAATTTCTGCAGACGTACATTTTCCAATCCAAGAAAGGTCAAATATTTAATATTGGGACAAATATTCAAACTATTTAAATGCCAAAAAATCTAAAAGACACACAACATGCAGTATATGGTATAATAGACTGATTAAATAATCCCAGGATTCATCTCATTGCTGTGATCAAAAGCTTGACCTTTCAGATCAGTAGGCATAGTCATATGGGGATGTAGCTCAGTGGTAGAGCGCATGCTTTGCATGTATGAGGCCCCGGGTTCAATCCCCGGCATCTCCATTTTTTTTTTAAAGTGGAGAGGGAGCAAGAACCATTAAGTCTCCAGTAGGATGGGCATGTGGAGATAAGCTTCGTAGTCACTGCTGAGAAAAAGGAGAGATCTGAATCTTGGCTGAGAGGAGAGGAACTGAGCTGCAGAAAGAACAACTTTGATCCTTGTGCTGAACTTTGAGGATGGCTTGCTCAATGGTGCCAGCAACTACAGAGGTGAGTGAGCTCTCCAATGTGTTTTTAAAGCTCATTTACAGCTTGTTAAGTATATGGAACTGTTTGAATGAGGCCGGGTTTAATTGTCATTAAACAATGATGTTTAATCAATGCTAATCATGTTTATGCTGTTCAAAACAAAATAAGTAGGATTCCATTGGGGTAAAAAGCAAAACAAGTAGGATAAGGGGAAAATCTTCCATTGGGGACCCCTGTCTTCCCTCCTACCAGCGGTGACCCCTGTCTTCCCTTCTGCCAGCTGTGACCCCTGTCCTCCCTCCTGCCAGTGGTGACCCCTGTCCTCTCTCCACACCAGGAGATAAGGGGAAATCTTCCATTGGGGACCCCTGTCCTCCCTCCTACCAGCAGTGACCCCTGTCTTCCCTCCTGCCAGTGGTGACCCCTGTCCTCTCTCCACACCAGTCCCACCAAAAAAAACTTTTTTTAGCTCTCCAATTTTGGGACCCAGCACTGAGCTGTCCTCCCAGTCCTCACCAAGAGTGGGGACCCAGTGGTAGAGCTTCCATGCTTTGCAGTATGTGGCCCCCTGTCATCTCCCTCTTTTAGACAATGAAGTGACCCTTGTGTCGATCAATCTAATCTCCATGCAGTTCAAAGCAAAACAAGGGATTAATCTTCCATTGGGGAAAAAAAACAAAACAAGTAGGACAAGGGGAAATCTTCCAGCGGTGACCTGTCTTCCTTCCTACCAGCAGTGACCCCTGTCCTCTCCCCACACCAGTCCCACCAAAAAAAACCTTTTTAGCTCTCCAATTTCTGCCCCACTCCAACAGCACTGAGCTGCACACAATTCACCAAGGGAGGGGATATAGCTCAGTGGTAGAGTGCATGCTTTGCATGTATGAGGCCCCGGGTTCAATCCCTGACATCTCCCTCTTTTAAACAATGATGTTTAATTGTCAATCAATGCTAATCATGTTTATGCTGTTCAAAGCAAAACAAGTAGGATTCCATTGGGGGTAAAAAAGCAAAACATGTAGGATAAAAAATCTTCCTGGGGACCCCTGTCCTCCCTCCTACCAGGGTGACCCCTGTCTTCCCTTCTGCCAGTTGTGACCCCTGTCCTCCCTCCTGCCAGTGGGACCCCTGTCCTCTCTCCACACCAGGAGATAAGGGGAAATCTTCCATTGGGGACCCCTGTCCTCCCTCCTACCAGCAGTGACCCCTGTCTTCCCCTCCTGCCAGTGGTGACCCCTGTCCTCTCTCCACACCAGTCCCCCACCAAAAAAACCTTTTATAGCTCTCCAATTTTGCCCCACTCCAACAGCACTGAGCTGCACAACAATTTCACCAAGGGAGGGGATATAGCTCAGTGGTAGAGTGCATGCTTTGCATGTATGAGGCCCCGGGTTCAATCCCTGACATCTCCCTCTTTTAAACAATGATGTTTAATTGTCAATCAATGCTAATCATGTTTATGCAGTTCAAAGCAAAACAAGTAGGATTCCATTGGGGTAAAAAGCAAAAAAAGTAGGATAAGGGGAAATCTTCCATTGGGACCCCTGTCCTCCCTCCTACCAGCAGTGACCCCTGTCTTCCCTTCTGCCAGTTGTGACCCCTGTCCTCCCTCCTGCCAGTGGTGACCCCTGTCCTCTCTCCACACCAGGAGATAAGGGGAAATCTTCCATTGGGGACCCCCTGTCCTCCCTCCTACCAGCAGTGACCCCTGTCTTCCCTCCTGCCAGTGGTGACCCCTGTCCTCTCTCCACACCAGTCCCACCAAAAAAACCTTTTATAGCTCTCCAATTCTGCCCCACTCCAACAGCACTGAGCTGCACAACAATTTCACCAAGGGAGGGGATATAGCTCAGTGGTAGAGTGCATGCTTTGCATGTATGAGGCCCCGGGTTCAATCCCTGACATCTCCCTCTTTTAAACAATGATGTTTAATTGTCAATCAATGCTAATCATGTTTATGCAGTTCAAAGCAAAACAAGTAGGATTCCATTGGGGTAAAAAGCAAAACAAGTAGATAAGGGGAAATCTTCCATTGGGGACCCCTGTCCTCCCTCCTACCAGCGGTGACCCCTGTCTTCCCTTCTGCCAGTTGTGACCCCTGTCCTCCCTCCTGCCAGTGGTGACCCCTGTCCTCTCTCCACACCAGGAGATAAGGGGAAATCTTCCATTGGGGACCCCTGTCCTCCCTCCTACCAGCGGTGACCCCTGTCTTCCCTCCTGCCAGTGGTGACCCCTGTCCTCTCTCCCACCAGGAGATAAGGGAAATCTTCCATTGGGGACCCCTGTCCTCCCTCCTACCACAGTGACCCTGTCTTCCCTCCCCAGTGGTGACCCCTGTCCTCTCTCCACACCAGTCCCACCAAAAAAAACCTTTTATAGCTCTCCAATTCTGCCCCACTCCAACAGCACTGAGCTGCACAACAATTTCACCAAGGGAGGGGATATAGCTCAGTGGTAGAGTGCATGCTTTGCATGTATGAGGCCCCGGGTTCAATCCCTGACATCTCCCTCTTTTAAACAATGATGTTTAATTGTCAATCAATGCTAATCATGTTTATGCAGTTCAAAGCAAAACAAGTAGGATTCCATTGGGGTAAAAAGCAAAACAAGTAGGATAAGGGGAAATCTTCCATTGGGACCCCTGTCCTCCCTCCTACCAGCAGTGACCCCTGTCTTCCCTTCTGCCAGTTGTGACCCCTGTCCTCCCTCCTGCCAGTGGTGACCCCTTGTCCTCTCTCCACACCAGGAGATAGGGGAAATCTTCCATTGGGGACCCCTGTACCCTCCCTCCTACCAGCAGTGACCCCTGTCTTCCCTCCTGCCAGTGGTGACCCCTGTCCTCTCTCCACACCAGTCCCACCAAAAAAACCTTTTATAGCTCTCCAATTCTGCCCCACTCCAACAGCACTGAGCTGCACAACAATTGCACCAAGGGAGGGGATATAGCTCAGTGGTAGAGTGCATGCTTTGCATGTATGAGGCCCCGGGTTCAATCCCTGACATCTCCCTCTTTTAAACAATGATGTTTAATTGTCAATCAATGCTAATCATGTTTATGCAGTTCAAAGCAAAACAAGTAGGATTCCATTGGGGTAAAAAGCAAAACAAGTAAGATAAGGGGAAATCTTCCATGGGGACCCCTGTCCTCCCTCCTACCAGCGGGTGACCCCTGTCTTCCCTTCTGCCAGTTGTGACCCCTGTCCTCCCTCCTGCCAGTGGTGACCCCTGTCCTCTCTCCACACCAGGAGATAAGGGGAAATCTTCCATTGGGGACCCCTGTCCTCCCTCCTACCAGCGGTGACCCCTGTCTTCCCTCCTGCCAGTGGTGACCCCTGTCCTCTCTCCACACACCAGGAGATAAGGGGAAATCTTCCATTGGGGACCCCTGTCCTCCCTCCTACCAGCGGTGACCCTGTCTTCCCTCCTGCCAGTGGTGACCCCTGTCCTCTCTCCACACCAGTCCCACCAAAAAAAAACCTTTTTTAGCTCTCCAATTTTGCCCCACTCCAACAGCACTGAGCTGCACAGCAGTCTCACCAAGAGAGGGGATGTAGCTCAGTGGTAGAGCGCATGCTTTGCATGTATGAGGCCCCGGGTTCAATCCCCGGCATCTCCATCTTTTAAACAATGTTTAATTGTCTATCAGTGCTAATTGTGATTATACTGTTCAAAGCAAAACAAGTAGGATTATCAAAGTATATAGATGCAGCAAAATACTACTGGTCTGGCTGTGTTATGGATAAATGCCAATTCAATGGCGTTCAATATAGGAAATTCGAGAACAGGAGATAAGGGCAAATCTTATATTGGGGACCCTTGTCCCTCTCTCCTACCAGCGGTGACCCCTGTCCTGCCTCCTGCCAGTGGTGACCCCTGTCCTCTCTCCACACCAGTCCCACCAAAAAAAACCTTTTTTAGCTCTCCAATTTTGCCCCACTCCAACAGCACTGAGTTGCAGAGCAGCTTAGAGAAGGGAGGGGATGTAGCTCAGTGGTAGAGCGCATGCTTCGCATGTATGAGGCCCCGGGTTCAATCCCCGGCATCTCCAGTTTTTTTGCCAAGCAGCAATAAATCACCATTCTAGTTAAGTGAGGTGCTTTAGGGTGAAAATACCTGTCTGATGGAATGTTAAAGTGGTTTTATTCATGCATTCTATACATGAAGGTAAAAATCCATCTGTGTGCTGCTCCCCCTCACAGCCCCCCCCCCCCCCCCCAATACTCACCTGAGCCCCCTCTCAAGCCAGCAATGTGCACGGGAGCCGCACCTGGCCCGGGACTTCCTCTCCTCATTGGCTGGTGCCATTGACTCCCACTGCTGTCAATCACAGTCAGTGAGCCAATAAGGAGAGAGTGGGAGGTGGGGCAGGGCTGAGCCACTGCTCTATGTGTCATGGATGCACAGAGCAGGGCTTGGGAGCAAACATGCACCAGTGCCCCCTTAGCAAGTGGCTTGCTATTGGGTGCACTGGTCAAGGGGGAGGAGCTAGCAGGGGTCCCGAGAACAGGAGGGTCGGGGCTGCTCTGCGCAAAACCACTACACCGAGCAGGTGAGTGTAACATGTTTGTTATATTTTTAAAAAAAAAGTTGAACCCTTAATGTCACTTTAACAGAACTCTATAAGGTCCAACTCCCACTTCTTGACAAAGTCAATTGCAGGATACTATACAAAAAAGTGTAAAATTCTATTATACATATGTTGTCATTTTCCCCACTCTGGGAAATTTGTTACTATTGTGATTCAGAAATTCGGATACATCCAAATCTGCAAATAACAAAAATTTAGATTTGTAAAAAAAAGGCACGTCTATCTCCTGCTGGAGGAGGGGGGAATGCAGTGCAGGGAGTTGTTCTTGCCAAGAGATGTTAACCCCTTCCTGCCCAGTGCCATTAGTACAGTGTCAGTGCTTTTTTATTATCATTGATCACTGTATTGGTGTCACTGAGGATGTCAGTGGCAGTTAGTCAGTTCCCCCCCAGTGTCAGAATGCCTGCCGCAGTCCTGCTATAAGTCGCTGATCGCTGCCATTACTAGCATAAAAAAAATTAAAACTAAAATGTCAGTATATATACATATATGCATACATATACATTTGTAGATGCTGTAACTTTCACATAAAATTAATTTACACGTATTGGGATGTAGTAGAATACATTTTGGCCTAAATTTATAAAGAAATTAGATTTTTTTTATTTTTTTTTTATTGGATATGTTTTATAGCAAAAAGTAAAAAATATTGTATTTTTTTTTTCAAAATTGTTAAATTTTTTTGTTTATAGCGCAAAAAATAAAAAATGCACAGGTGATCAAATACCACCGAAAGAAAGCTCTATTTGTGGAAAAAAAAAAACTGCATAAATGTAATTTATGTACAGCGTTGCATGACCGCGCAATTTTCAGTTAAAGTAACGCAGCTCCATATCGCAAAAAATGGCCTGGTCAGGAAGGGGAGGGGAGGTAAATTCTCTGAAGAACAAGTGGTTAAACTGGTAAATCCTGTATAATAATAATAATAATCATGTACAGTATCTTTCACATAGGTTTTTTTATTTGGGGGGGGGGGGGTTGTGTAGTAAAAAAAAAAAAAAAAGCAGTTGAGCAGTCTGGAACAGACTTTCAGCAGAGGTAGTGAGTCAACAGTGTCATCGGTTTGAAAAAACAATGAAATCTGATTCAGGCCACCTGGCACATAGGGTTGCCACCTCATCCCTTTAACCCCAAACACATATTAATTTCACAGGTTCTGTGGCTGATTAACTGCATCCCCACAGCCCTATAGCAGAAATACTGCTGCAGGGCGGCACAGGTGCGCAAAATTACGTATATATATATATATATATATATATATATATATATATATACATGATTTCGCATCTGCGGGTAGGGGGTGCACACGAGCAGTCCACGCGTCCTACCTGCGCCGCCATTTGCGGCTGCGGCTGTCAATCACTGGGTCCCTGCCAGTAATTACTCACCAGCGCCCAGTGATTTCTGACGATCACCGACGGGGGGAGGACTGTTTTGTTTACTAACAGTTCTCCTCCCTGTCAGCTTGGCACACTGCTCTGGATGGCTGTGCACAGTACAGCCATCCAGAGCAGTGTGATTACAGTGAAACACACACACACCGCCCCCTAGTAAAACACTTCCTGCACACAGTTAACCCTTTGATCACCCCTTTGATCAGTGACTTATAGCAGGACTGCGGGACTGCAGTGGGTATTCTGACACTGGGTGGAACTGACTTGGTGTCACTGATATCCCCAGTGACACCAATACAGTGATTATCGGCGTTTCAAACACAAAATGCTTGTAAACATGGCTAACCGCGTTTATAGGTGTTTGCGTTTGAAATTTTTTTTAACTCTTCCATTTCCAGATGCTGTCCAGAGCCTTTTTTCATCATGAAAAATGCATGCAAAGCGTTTTCCCAGTACTCAAATGGACCTGGTACACCAGACTTTGAGGTTTCGCATGAAAGAAAATATATTAGACACTGCTGCAATAATTTCTGCACAGAAATGAGCTGGAACACATCCAAACACCACAAAAAAAAAGACAGCTAATCTCAACAAATACTGCTCTCTCTGCTTCTGCTCTATTTCTCTCAAAATGTCTGAAATAGTTAATTTTGTACTATTTTTCAGTGCATTCTGGGCATTTTGGAGGGTCTCCAGAGGTTATCTTTAAAAAAAAAAAAAACGCTTCTAAACACGGTATGCAAAAACACGACTAAACAGATGTTTTTTAACCTACGTTTTCCAGCAATCAGTTTCCATCGTTCAGAAGTGTCCCGTGTACATGGGGCCTTATGCAGGCCATAGACGGGTCGAAAATCGGCGATTTATTGAAAAAAAAAAAATTAAAAATCGGTCATTCGGTCGGCCGAAGTTACCACCAACGGTAAAAAAAATCAGCCGACAAAATCATCAAGCTCACCCCATAACTTCTGTCCCTTGCAGGTCACGGCTCATGCGCGGATTTTTTTATCGGTAAAACGATTGGCTGATTTGCCCATCATTGCCGGGAAAATCAGCCGATTGTCAAAATCGGCTGCGAATTTTCCAACAACGATAAAAAAAATGTGCAAAAAATCCGAAAAACGGCAGACCAATTACCCCCACTAAGGCTACGTTCACACTAGCCTTGTTAGCAAGCGGGCAGACAGGCGTTTGGGAAGCGTTTTTACCGTTTCCCAAATGCCTGGGAAAATTTTGCACATTGCAGCACGTAGTGCTGTTCAAACGGGAGTGTTAGCGTTGCGTTGCGGCAAAACGGACGCCTCTGGTCGAGTCAGGAGGAGTTGAAGCCTCCTATTCAAGTCTATGGTGCCGCTCCGCAAACGCCTGGCCGGCCAGGTGCAGTTGCGAGGCATTTGCGGAGCGGTAACACCATTCAAACTTCATTATAGGTGTTTGTGGGGCGTTTTTAATGCTTGGCAAAGCCGCGCATGCTGCGTTTGCATATCGTTTAAAAACGCTCCGCAAACGTCGGACCAATGCTTGTCAAACGCTATAGGGGCGTTTGGCAAGAGTTGGAAAAACAGTCAAGTGTGAACGAGCCCTAACAGTGAGAAAATTGGCCTTTTATTTGTTTTTGAATGAAAAAATCGGCCAATTTTCGACCCGTCTATGGCCAGCATTAAGGTGTCTATACACTTTACTTCCCTCTGGCTTTCATTATGCGGACAAATCCATTCAATTTAGCATTTGTTTTATTTGCCCAGACATTCCCCCCCTGACACCTTTTGAAATAGACTAGTCCATAGCGCATAGATTTTCTCATCTGTTTTTGGGCGTAGGCTGAGGATACTCCCCCTCATTTACTGGAAGTGGTATGGTCCTATGAATGTTAGAGAGCAGTGGATGAATCCATTGGTGTGCAGTATTGGGGGGGGGGGGGGGTGAACAGTGGTGGCAGCAGAGCAGGTGGGATAGAGACATTGGATTGTCTGTTGTTTGTGGGTGAGAGACTTCCTTTATTAAGGTTTATTGTACTTGATTGGAGCTTGGTGATTTGGGTGCCCAGAGATTGCAGGTTTGACACTGGAAATGCCCATTAAAGGGCTTGTCCACCTTGGCATGCACATTGTAAGGCTGGTGTGCAATGTGAAGGGGGGTGGTGTGATGTATTGTTACACTGTTTATTTATTTTTCTTTTTATTGTATTGAGGTGTCACCAAATAACACATCTCTCAGCTCTATGTGCATATTGTGATGATGTGCTGCAGACATGGTGGATTTTTACGCAGCACCTACCAATGCACCTGGATGGTGTCATGGTGTCAGCGGGGTACATAGAAAACCATAGTTTTATAGTGGCTCTTGTGTTGATCTATACTGCTCAGTGAAATGATGTGAATGAGCCCTTGGGGCTGGTGTGGGAGAGTCATGTTCTGTGTGCGTTTCCTGCACAATGCTCGAGCGCGCTGCCCTTGCGATTTGCTGTAGGTATTGTTAACAGCACCCCAAACACAGATCACAAATGCAGTTACCAAATTGCATTTGGTACGGCGCCCTTTTTTTTTTTTAAAAAAAGTGCATGCACTTCATTTTCTGTGTTTCTATGCGATTTTGCAGCCCATTCAAATGAAAAGTCGCACTGCACGGGAACGCGGTATGCGTTTCTGTGCAATTCAGATGTGACCTGGAAGCCTAGGTAGGCCATACACAAAGCAAATTTCTTTCCTGCAAGCTTGGATTGCTCCTGCGGAGCCAGGGTTGCCACCTCATCCCTTCAAAACTAGACACATTCTAATTACACAGGTTCCGGGGCTAATTTAATGCAGATAAGACATTAAGCCAGGCTTCATACAATGCTGTGCGGCATATCGCATGTGATGCGCACAGGAACCGCACCGCATTGCTGTGCAAATTGCATGCGAATTCTGCGCAGTGTGATTTGAGCCATACATTTTTTTGTATGGTTCAAATCACACCGCATCCACACCAAATAGGTGCAGGAACCTAGCATCGGATTGCATGGGTATTCACAGCTATGCGATCCGATTGTCCACATCGCACCGCGTTTTCTAAACCAATTTCAGGGTGTTGTTAACATTCACACCTGCAGTGGTTCACATGAACAGGATGCGATTGAGAAATTCGCACAAAAACCGCCGCAAATTTTGCACCGCATTAGTGTGAACCCAGGCTAAGCGAGTTTAAATACCACCTTAATCAGCCCCAGAACCTGTGTAATTTAATATGTATTTGGTTTTAAAGGGATGAAGTGGCAAACCTACAGAGAGCCATTGGCCATTGTATTCTCCCGGTGGGGAGAAGATGGTGATCGTTGCTACCAGCTGTTGTTGACAATTGTATGTGAAATCAGGTAGGCTGGCTGTACCCAAGATAATCAATCAATTTGGGTGCCTTCAGCCTACCCATACATGTTTCAAATAGATTATGCAATTTTTTAAAAAATTTTTTTTTTGGGGGGGGGGGGGGGGGGGGGGTGGGGACACCTGGCCTGGGGAGCCTTCCTGGCTGGCAGAACGCAATGATTACTGCCATAGCAGTAATCACATGTAAAAAATGCGACAAGCTGGGTATATCCAAGTTGATTGGTGAATCGACCTGGGTACATTCAGCCTCCCCATACATGTGTTGAATTTTGGCCGGTTCATGCTGAAGACTGGAACCATCTATGGCCGGCCTTACTCTGATGAACCATACCACAAAATCCAGAGGTTATCCATAGGGTGTTGATGACTTGTCTCTGATCTTCACTGCTGACGCTCTAAGTATAGAATGTTTGACCTACAGGGCTGGCTCACACCAAGAAACAGTTTGGATGCGTTTCTGCATGCACATTTTTGATGCATTCTGGTGCATGGACGTGTGCTTTTAGGTACATTTCGGTGCATATTTGATGCATTTCACCATGTTCCAGTACAGTTCAGTGCAGGAAAAAGCAGCATGTTCTACCCACCCCCCCCCTTTTTTTTTTTTTTTTTTTTTTTTTTTTTTTTTTTTTTTATTTTGTTCTGGAACTGACAACACTGGTGTGCCACTGGAAACCATATAACTAACTATCCATGCATTTTTGATGCAGGAAAAAAAAAAAAACGCATTGGACTGCATGCGGTGTGAACCAGCCCTTACAGCGTCTCTAATCTGCCTTCTACTGCACAATGTCCTGCATGAATGTGCCCCATTACACACTGTACTTGTATTTATATGTCTTCTTCCAGGTGAAGGCCTTATCACCATATGATGGAGGCACATAAACATGCAGGAAACAGTCATTGATTTTCTCTGGGCCCCTCTACCTCTGCTTGCTTGTCAAAAAGCATGCATTCATTTTTGTTTTGCATCATCCTTTTTTTTGCATGCTGCACCTTCCTCTGCAGTATAAGGTGCATGTTATATTGGAGGCCCTTTTGTATACATGTTAATATCTAGGAATTTTGGCTTTTCAATGGTTAATCCCTTTAAGCCCAGGGTGTTACTGGCCAATCACGTTATTGGCTTTCACAGTGGTCACATGATCAGGAGCCGGTCCCGCTGACTCCTGATCATTAGAGAGTTGACTTTGACAGCTGGACAGGGCCATCTTTAATATTGATTGGACAGACATTCTCTTGCGCCCCCCCCCCCCCCCCATGCAATTTCACCCGATAACTTTCTCTGAGACAAACAATACATAGCAGCTAGACTCAAAATTAGTTTACTGCAGCAGATCAGAAGCAGTGATTGTGACTGGTTGCCAAAGGTTACAGCATATCATTACTGCTCACTGGCTGGTTGCTAGAGGTTACAGTACACACTACGGCTCACTGATTAGTTGCTGGAGGTTACTGTACCTCATTACTGCTCATTGGTTGCTATAGGTTACTGTGCATTATTACTTCACTGATTGGCTGCTAAAGGTTACAGCACATCATTACCGCTCACTGATTGGTTGCAAGACGTTACAGCACATAATTACTGGTCACTGATTGGTTGCTAGAGGTTACAGCACATCATGTACATCCCCCTCCTTGCTCACCTGTGCAACCCAAACTGTAATTCCTTCTCTGTTAACCTCTGCACACTCCACCCACACCACTTTGCTTACTTTTGCAGAACAGGCTGATGGTAGGCTCAATGACCACAGTTGCAGGCAGGACTTTCAAGCATGCTCCTGTTTACCTCCCCAATGGGCAGCATTCAGCAGAGGTGATGGTGGATGGAAAAACAGGGGGGCATAATATACATATGAATGCCAGCGCTATTTACATTTCAGTCCTTGTTATATACATGTGAATGCTGACATGATCTGGGTCATCTGTACACTGCAATAGGGCAGAGCTGGGCTGTATAAGTGACAGCACGTCACACTGAGTTATCGGGACACAGCGCAGGAGGAAGACTTCAAGGGACAAGGGTATGTAAAGCAGGGACAACTGGCAAATATGAGACAGCTGCTTTGGGCCCCATAAAAACTGACTGGACCCTTTTACCCAGCCTTAAAGAGGGCCCTGTAGCTGGGTCACTATGTTATGGTGAGCTCTGCCGCCCAGGGCCGCTTATGCATTGCTCCCAACTGTCTCTGATTTCGAGGGACTGTTCCTCATTTGGAATAAGGTCCCTCTTTCCTCCTCATTTGTCCCTCATTTTGATCTGATGCATATCGTTGTATATAAAATGCACTGTTTCTCTATGAAAAAGTGTTCATAATGCTAAAACTTTTTCATTCAGTTTCTAATTGCTGCATTCGTAAATTTCAAAAGCCAAAATAAAGAAATAGTAGTTAAAAAAAAAAAAAACACTCTTCCTCCTTCTTCCTCCTTCTTCCTCCTTCTTCCTCCTTCTTCCTCCTTCTCCTTCTTCCTCCTCCTTCTTCCTCCTCCTTCTTCCTCCTCCTTCTCCTCCTCCTCCTCCTCCTTCTCCTCCTCCTCCTTCTTCCTCCTCCTCCTTCTCCTCCTCCTTTTCCTTCTTCTTCTCCTCTCTTCTTCTTCCTCCTTCTTCTTCTCCTCCTCCTTCTTCTTCCTCCTCTTCTTCTTCCTCCTCCTTCTTCTTCCTCCTCCTTCTTCTTCCTCCTCCTTCTTCTTCCTCCTCCTTCTTCTTCCTCCTCCTTCTTCTTCTTCCTCCTTCTTCTTCTTTTCCTCCTTCTTCTTCCTCCTCCTTCTTCTTCTTCCTCCTTCTTCTTCTTCCTCCTTCTTCCTCCTCCTTCTTCCTCTTCTTCGAGGGTATGTCCTATGCTACATATTTTTGCTAATAGGTCTCCTTCATTCAGAAAATTGGGAGGTATGCATGTGGGTGTTAAAGCCCACCCTCTTTGCTGCACATATGCATTACATGGATGGTAAATGGTTAAAAAGTATATGGAATTGGGGTAATAGTATTTCAAGCTTAGGAAACATTAAGTTATATAGCACTCATTAGTGCTCAGGGGCATTGGCAGTCATTTATTATCCAGTTCAGCTCCAGAAAGGTGTTACCCCCCTTCATGACCAGGCCTTTTTTTGCTATTTAGCACTGCGTACTTTAACTGGTAATTGTGCGGTCATGCAATGCTGTACCCAAACAAAAAATTTTAATCACCACAGGGTTTTATATTTCTTGAAAAAAAAAATTAAAAAAAAAAATATATATATATATATATATATATATTTTTTTTTTTTTTTTTACTTTCTGATATAAAACCTACCCAATAAAAAAACATAAATTTCTTCATACATTTTAGACCAAAATGTATTCTACTACATGCCTTTTGGTAAACAAAAATCCTAATAAGTGTATATTGCTTATAGTGGGTATGTGATGCAGCGGGCAATCTGACACTAACTGCTACAGGGTGGGAACAAACTGCCAGTGACATCAATACAATACAGTCAGGCACAGACTGGGACACAAAAATAGGCCCGGGCATTTTAAACTGAATAGCCCTTTTTTTGTTTTTTTTTTTTTTTATCATTACCACTCACAAACTGGTTGCTAGAGGTTACAGAACATAAATCTCTGCTTGCGGATGCACATCATTACAGCTTGCTAGAGGTTACTGCACATCCTTAGAGCCCACTGATTGGTTGCTAGAGATTACTACACATCATTACTGCTCATTGATTGGTTGCTAAAGGTTACTGCTCAGTGAGCGGTAGTGATGTGCCGTAAACTCTAGCAACCAATCAGAGAGCGGGATTGGTTGCTAAAGATCACTACCGCTCACTGACTGGCTGCTAGAGGCTACTGAACAGACGATAACAGACGGTAAAGTGAAGGCAGAATGCCAGCATCAGACATAGAGCTCTATAGTAGTACACCAATAAGCTAAAATAACAAATTTTCTTTTTTTTTTCTTCTAACAGCAGCCTGCACTTACTTTCTCTCCCTGGCCCATAGTGTCTGTGGTGGCAGCGACCCCTATCCCTGATATCAGCTCATAGGGTCTCCACCAGCTCCTCCCCCTTCCCAGCCACAGATCAGTTGACCTGTAGTTTTCACTCCCGGCCCTGACGGCTGAACTGAGTGGGTGGCTGGCTGGCCCGCAGAGAGGCTGGGTAATTGGCATGGGTTCAAGGAGCAGCCCAGCTGCTATGAGCCCCAAAGATATGTGGCCTCAGCCCACAGGGCAAATGCCCAGAGTGCCCTATGGCCAGTCCAGGCCTGAATACAGTGATCAATGATAATAATGTACACTGTCACTGTACTAATGACACTGGCTGGAAAGAGGTTAACATTTTGGGGAGATCAAGGGGTTAAATGCATGTCTAACAAGTGTTAATTTGTGTAATGTGTGCTGATTTTTACTAAATATTCGTTTCTGGGTTATGATTGGACACAGTGGATCAGCAGGTCCCGGAAGGTAAATCATTGTCTGGGACCTGCTGACAAACTCCAGCTGTTTACAATTAGAGATGAGCGAATCGAACATGACGAAGTGGAATTTGTTCCGAAGATTTGGAAAAATTCTATTCGCGACGAATCCGAAGATTAGCAAACTTCGGATGCACGAATCGAATTTTCCCAAAAATGGCGGCGACATGTGTGGCGACGGAGAAAATGGACAGAGAAGATGGGGCGGGGATCTCTGGGAAGACGCGCAGACAAGGCGCGCTGACCCATAATGCATTCATGACATGTGATTGCATTAGCCAATCAGCAGCCAGCCAGCACTGTGTAATGGTGGAGCTATAAATCGCGGCCATCTTAGAATTCTCCATTAGCCTCCGGTCATTCAAGAGAGACAGACCTGTGTGTATTAAGGGACAGAGTTAGGGCCACAGAGACGTTACTCAGGGCCACAGAATCGTTACTCAGGGCCACAGAATCGTTACTCAGGGCCACAGAATCGTTACTCAGGGACACAGAATCGTTACTCAGGGACACAGCTATCAAAGAATCGAAAATTTAAAGTGACATACACCCTTTTTTTTTTTTTTTTTGGTGGCTGTCGTGCACAGTTGGTGCTGCAGTTTGCCGATTGTGCAAAATAAACTGACTTTCTGCTTCACAACCACTATTGTACGTTCAAAGAGTTAAATCCATTTACACGCCGGCTGGCGGTAATATTTTTTTGGGTGATTAGTGCATTCCAGTGACACAAACGTACAGTTTCCAGCCAACGGCAAGCTGCAATTGACCGATTGTGTACAATAAACTGACTTTCTGTTTCACAACCACTATTGTACGTTCAAAGAGTTAGATCCATTTACACGCCGGGTGGCGGTAATATTTTTTGGGTGATTAGGGCAATAAAGCTCCCGGTTCGCAGGTTGTTCCGTCTTATGGATGGAAGTACGACGGTATATGATCTTCTTCGCACCCACAGCATCACCTCATAGAATCTCTGCATTGCATCTGCAATCACAACGCTGACTTCCCGGATCGCCACTCAGCCATTGGACTCTTGATAGTCGTCTCCCCACACTGCTGCTGGGGGGACTTTTTAACCTAGGACCTGTGTATGGCCTTCAATTGAAGCTGCTTCCGCTCCGCCACTCTGCCATTGACTCTTGATAGTCGTCTCCCCACGCTGCTGCTGGGGGGACTTTTTAACTAGGTCTGTGTAGGCCTTCAATTGAAGCTGCTTCTGCACCGCCACTCTGCCATTGGACTCTTGATAGTCGTCTCCCCACGCTGCTGCTGGGGGGACTTTTTAACATAGGCCTCTGTATGGCCTTCAATTTTAGCTGCTTACCGCTCCGCCACTCTGCCATGGGCCCCTGTACCGCCTCCTCATGCTGCTGCCAGGCCCGTAATCTGCCATGGGCCCCCGTACCGACTCCTCATGCTGCTGCCAGGCCCGTAATCTGTTATGGGCCCCTGTACCGCTTCCTCATGCTGCTGCCAGGTCCAGAGTGTGTCATGGGTCCCTGTACGGCCTCCCATTGCTGCTGTCTCCATCGCCACACTCTGCCATGTGCCACTTTCAGGTCTCCTCACACTGCTGGTGGGTTCCATTTTGTCATAGGGTGCTGTATGGCCTCCCATTGCTGCTGCCTCCACCGCCACACTGTGGCTCCACACTCTGGTTTTGGCCCCGTGACTGCCCAAATGAGTGAAGTGTGCGGTGATTCTAAGATCGACGGCACTCATCTGCATGTCATACTGACTGACAGTATTATTTCTCTTCCCCAGCAGACTCCAAGGGCATTTAAATTAAAGGTACAGTGTTCTGCACTAATATAAAGGCTCTCTGAAGCCTAAAAACACCCTTTTTATAAGTTAAATTTGCAGCGAATATATTCGGCTCGAAGCGAATTTATTCGGCGAATCAGCCGAACCGAATTTTTGAATAATTCGCTCATCTCTATTTACAATCATAGCAGGAGTCAGCAGGGGTATGTGTGTCTGGCTCCTACCTGAAAGAAGCCAGCAACATACAGGTACGTCCCTGTGCCTGGACGGGCCACCCATCCGCAGTACATTGGTGGGCAGTCCACTAGCAGTTAAAGTGTTTGTACAACATGTAGGATAAAAGTGTGCCTTTTTAGTGTTTAAAGTGTAAATGTAAAGCATTCCTAAACCTAAAAGCTAACATTTTATTCTGTTGCAGCTTACCAATTCTTAGATGTGATGACTGCATTCGTTTTCTTTTTTAGGCTTTCTTTCTTCAATTTTCATCTTGTGATTCACCAGCAAGTCTGTTGTTTTTCAAAAGCTCATGCTCTCCAGCAGAATTTATCAGCTTACACTTATGAGACAAACCATTTACCACAGGCAGGGATGGTTAAATGATCAGCTTTTATTTATTCATGTGAAACTTTTATCCCAAAATGAAAAAAATGTGGTTTGTTGTAACTGTTATAATGTGTGATCTGGAGTTTGGCTTCAATTCATGACTGTTTTTTAAATCTGCTAATATATTTACCACTTCCCCTTTTCTCAGACTGACAATGCTGCTGTCTCCTGTGCCCCCTGTGCTCATTCATCCAGAGTTGTCTCACTAATACAGGAGGTGTGTTACTGGCCAGATCTCCAGGTGAAAACGGAGAGAAAAAGCCAAATAGAAGAAAGTTAATGCAGTCACCACATCTAGGGCTTGGTAAGCGGCAATATAATACCTTTTTGGTTTTGGGTTTAATACCGCTTTAAAGCCTATATATTTGGGCAATTTTTTATTTTTTTTTTTAACTCTGCTTCCATTTCTCCCCCTGCAGTGTTCTGAGCTGGCAGAGCTGAGTAACAGCCAACCCCCTAATCACAAAGGAAGAGGGGGGCGTGCCTGACCAGTTCTGTTATTAAAGTGAAATTGCACTGCACCTGAGCAACACAAACCAAAAACACTACTTAATTTTTAATATTCAAAGCAAACTTCACCATCCATCCATGTCTCCATGCTTTATTTTGCTGAGAAATCACTTTGAAAAACACCCCCCTAATATTTATGGGTGTAATCACCCAGCTTTAGCCAGCGCAGATGATTTATGTAGCACTTACATCCTGGAATCCATCTGCCCTTAGCTCAGCCTTACAGACAGGAGGGTGTGCTTAGCTGAGAAAACCCCTCCTAAAGGCACATGGGATGTGTGATGTAATTTGCCTAAACCTGGAAACCACAAAGTAACTGAAGAAATGTGTAGCATTTCTCCTCTTGAGGGCTGCTGTGTTTCTGGGTCCCCCTAAGCTTCACACAGCCAGGCAACACGCATTTTCCAAATTTGCATCCACAGTCAGTGAACAGTCCATGAGCTTGTTTTTTTTATTAGGGGAAGTAACTTGGATAGGGTAATGGGGATTATGGGATGCCCACCTTGACTGATTCAATGCACAGGGACAACTTCCTTCCTATATACAGAAACAAATCCTGGACTGTTCTTTTCCTTGAATGCAGTCAGTCATTCCAGATAAGTAACTAAAGCTAGGCCAGGGACTCTGAGCCGCTTTGAAAGTTAGCACAGATTGTTGCAAACTACATGCAGAGATGTCTCCTCTCCCCTCTAGAATTGCTCCCATCTCCCCAGCCTGTGGACACTACCAACCCTCCTGGCTGCTCTGAAGATCTCCCAGGACAAGGATAAAGGGTTAAGCACAGCATTTTACAAGTGGCAGTCTCTCCCATTGTGAATTCTTGGGTGTGCTGATGTACTCTCTCTGTCCTCCTTGCAACCAAGCAAGGATCCTGTTTATACTGTGATGCTGAATGGATCCTCCTGAGACAGCCCCCTTTGGACCTAGGGGATCCCTCCCAGGCCACTGACGGCCTCCTCGGCACTCCATCTTCCACCCGACTCCTCTGCCTCCTCCTCTCCCATATTTATGCGTTAGCCTCCCCACACTACCAGGGTCTCCACACCTGGGATTGGTTAGACTCCCATAAACATGCAGATTTAGGTCTCCACCCCTTCTGCCCACTGGGTTTTGGAAGCTTCTATGGTCCTTCAGAACCAGGTGGAGGCGATAGAGTTCCAATCTGCTGAGTTACCCAGCCTGAACTGTAGTAACCCATCTTAATTACAGACTTGTGCCGTACCATGAGTCATACCACAATAAATTTACCTACACTAACACTAGTAGCATGCTAAAGGGTGCTACAAATTAAAAAAAAAAAAAGTTTAAAACGACTGAATATGATAGGAAAGTATATCTATTTATTTAATGCTAGCAGCATAAGGATTGAAAATAGTCAATGTTGATTGAGAGAGTGAAGTTCACTTTAATTGCTGATTACTGAATGTACCTGGATTAATTCTAATACCTGATGGACTACACAGTCATATTTAGGGCTTGTTCACAACATGTCTGAGCTGCATTTTTCTGCACACCATCACACTTGTATGGTGTTATCAGGACACATAGAAAACAACTCTGTTCACACCATGCATGTGTGGTTGCATTGGACATTGAACAAGCCTATAATCGGGACTGTCACCAAAAAACATGAGTAGCTATTTTATAAGTTTCATCTAAAAATGTTAATTGTGCCTAAGCAGGGTCATCAAAAAATGGACTGCAGTTTCTGTGCCTTGAACCCCAGTTCACACCAGTGTGACTTGTGAGTTCAAAGTTTCATGACAAGCCGCACCCTATTACCGGCAATGGAACCATTCTACTCAAGTCGCAGCAACTTTGAAAAAGGTCCCTGCACTATTTTTGTGTGACTTCATTGCAACTTTCATAGATATTTGTCATTGAATGTCAGCCGCAACGAAGGCGCACAGAAAAGTCGGAACACAAAGTTGCACAACTTTGCAGTCGCACTGATGTAAACTGGGGTCTACCCTAATTGCTGTGTATGTGCATTTTGAGATCATCTAAGGCCCTCTGACCCCTACATTTGCAGTGAGATGCTGTGCTCCTTGCTGGAGAGGGAACTGTACCTGAAAACCTGCAGTGCAAGCATCTCCCTGCTTCTGCCTCATTCATTCTGTGGATCTGTGCTTCTTCCACCTCTCCTGTTGCTTCTTGAATTTTTACCATCAGATCATTATTCATCAGGGGAATACCTTTCACATGAGGAAGCAAAGCCCTGCCTCTACCAATGTGGTTGCTTTCATAAAGCGCACCTTCAGATTCAGGCATGGTAAGTCAGTAATGGGCTCCCAAGTGATACTGATAGCTACTAGTCTCTTGCCTTCTGACTGCATTTTTTTTTGGGGCACAGGTCCTGTTATAACTGTTGTAGTAAAAGCTGTGAAAATGGAGGCTGACCGCATAATGTCTGTGACTGTAAAATTAATTCTATGACTTCAGTTGGATTAAATTAACTCGGTATACATTCAATTGAATTACTTTCTAGGTGTGTATATGAGTTGGGAAAACATGCCAGAAGGTCCCACAGTGAGAAGGTACTGCTCCGTGACCTCGCCATTTGTGGGCCAGCAGGTGACGAAGGTCGTGGCAGCACAAAGCAGATTCTTCTTCAGGACTTGATGGGACAGCAGTTCCAAGACTGTCAGGTAAGTGAACCTAAAGATCAGGAATCACCAGTCAAAAATCTGGACTCGTGTACCTGAAAACTTAACAAGGCTACACTCCCATTCTCCAGTAATTATTTTTGAATGCAGATTTATAGTGGACCTTCAGTAAGAAATTTAAATAACTAAATTCCTGACCCATTATAATATACATCCTTTTTTCAAAAGTCTATATTATTCAAAACCTGTCATTGACTTCCATGCAAATGACTTTGCCTATGCTGATATGATATCACACATTGCGACTTCGATGCAACTGGGTGCGACTTGAATGCAGTTTTGACTGTTGGCTTTGACTGTTGCACAACCGTTGCATTGATCGCATTAAGATGAAACTTTTGGAAGTTTACATTGCAGTCTGTGGCACTCAAATTGCATGAAAGTCACATCAAAGTAGTACAGGAACCTTTTTAAAGTCACTGTGAATTTAAGTTGCATAGATTTGAATGGCTTCCATTAAAATACATGGGCTGCGAATTTCTGTGACAGTCGCATGACAAGTCACATAAGTGTGAATGGACCCTTAATCTGTCTTGTCTCTGAAGCCGATCCATCTTAGGATCACGCTCCCGAGGCTACTAATAGGAGGTGAAGAAAAAAATGTCACTCCAACTCACGCTCTGCTGTAACCCCATCATTTTATTTATTTTATTTATTTTTTTTTATGGCCGACAATCGCACCGCAACCACATGCGTTGCACCAGGTTGCAAGACGTTTGTGGCGCTTCCCTATTGACTTGCATGGCCCGCTGAAGATGCATCATGTTGGGTCAACTTGGCCGCGAATCACATCACTGCTGTGGCATGAAACCATCTCCATCCTCTGCATATTGCAGCTTAAAGCGTAACTCCACCCAAAAGGGGAAGTTCCACTTTAAGGACTGCTCCCCCACTCTCCATTAAGGATTAGCACCTTTTGGGGGGTGGGGAGCGGGTACCCAAATTTGACAGGTACCCGCCTAGGCAATTGGAAGCGGAAGGTGTGTGTGTGTGTTCCACTTTTGGCTTGAGATTTCTTCAACCTTCCTAATTATAACTAGGACTGTACAATACAATTCAATATTTTACTTGCCGTACCGCCTGCTGCTTAAATTTTTGTATTGTTATTTCCAGTAGTTTAGTACAATGTATGCATTCACTTTTACCACCATTGTTACCATATTTTAGGTTCATGGGAAGAATTTATACCTAGCATTTGGTTGCAGTGCAAATAAACAAGAAAAGGCTGATAATGTCAATACACAGGATGATGGGAAGTCAGAGGAAGACTGTCCATTGATAAGTGAACCCTCCACAGTCCCTAGGGACCACAGCACTCCTGGTACAAGCGAGGAAACCGTGGTGCACAAATGGCTGCGCTTTCACTTTGGTCTGTATGGAAGCGTGAGAGCCAACGAGTTAGCCCGTGCTAAAAGTGGAAACAAGAAAGGAGACTGGAAAGACCCAACTCCCAGGTATTATTATTATTATTATTATTATTATTATTACAGGTACTTGTATAGCACCATCAATTGTAGTTTTGCCCACTCAGGACAACATGACAGTGGTTCATGGGCCACGCTTAACCCACTTACAATCACATTCACCATGCTATCCCGCTCTGTACCTCTGTTGTCAGGGGTTGGGGCCTCATGAACAGAATGAGTGTAGATCCAAGGGCTTCCAATAGAACACAGGGATCAGTCTGAAGACTGACACAAGTACTTTGAGGCACCACTGCATTTCAGCATTCTTGTTGCCGAAGGCCTCATTCACCCGAGCACTTACACCCATAGACTGTGAATGGGCCGTGTTTTTAAGTGATTGGTGCTGTGTCTAGGCAAGCCCATTCATGTCTATGGGAATTCAGAGGTTGCATGGACACAGCTGATCATCCCTGTTTGAGAGCCATGTGGTTGCACATGAACAAACCTGGAAGTGGAAGCCTACTGCCATGAATGAGGCCTAGGAAACTATTTCACTTTGATATATGTGTTGTGTGTTTTTTTTTTTTTTTTTTTTTTTTTTTTTTTGCGTTTTCTGAGGTCTGTATCTTTTTATATGCCGGTTTCTAGATTAATTGTCCACTTTGATGGTGGGGGATTCTTGGTATTCTACAACTGCCGAATGACATGGTGCTCTTGTCCGTTTGTGGAGCCAACTTGTGATATCTTGTGTCCAGAGTTTGATAAGGAAAAGGCCCTTCGTGCCCTCTCCCAACCCAGACCCGTCTGCATCACCCTGATGGATCAATCAATCTTCTCTGGAGTAGGTAAGAATAATGTCTTCAAGGATGATCTCCTCTGCTGAACTTCCCACACCACACCCCTTGGTAAAAGCAGATTTGTATGACCATACAGAGTGACTTTCCATTCCCACAAGGGACCACTTTACCATGTAACTGCAACAATATTGTGCTATAACTCACTCTTTCACAGCTACATTTGATTCAAATTCTTCTTTTCCAACTCCTAGAGGTATGTGTGGTGTGTTGTGTGTGTGTGCGTGTTTTTTTTTTTTTTTTTTTTTTCGGCCCCCCCCCCCCCCCCCCCCCCCCCCTTCCCCATCCCAACAGGGATTTTAAGAAAAAGTCACTCTGGCTGCAATGCTCATCAATACTCAACTGTCCCCCACAGTAATTCAGTTCTGCCACTAGTTGTCCTCAGCCTTTCAGGTTGAACAATGCCAAGTATCATTTAACAATGAAGACTGAGGACATACTAAGAGTTTAAAGCTGGCCGTAGATGGATCAAATCTCGGCGGACTCAGCCGGGACCCTCCGAGATTCGATCCCTCTATGTGCAGATTGGCTTTACCCAAGTTGATCCATCAATCGACTGTGGTACAGACAGCCTGTTTTTGATATTATTTAATTTATTTTTTCATGCAATTACTGCTAGCAGCTGAGAAGGCTCCCCAGAAACCCCCCTCCTGCCAGCAGAAAACAATAGCGCTGCAGGAGGGATTCCCCCATCAACACTGACTGTATTGATGGGAGAATAAAGCTATTTTCTTTCCTTCCACCCATGGAAGAAAGGAAAAAAGAGCGAAAATCACATAATCTTTGGGCTGCTTTAAGGATTCATGGACCCTCACCCTGAAGCATTGTAGTGAGGCAGAGAGCAGCCCTTGGTGCTTCCAAGCCTCTATAGAAGTCTATGACAAAGCTTGCTAACAGCACCTGCAGCTTTTGAGGGGCCCTTATTCAGTTATCTTTGCTGGAGGTATTTATTTATTACTTGTACAGCGCAGTCAATTTATGCAGCGTGTGTATGTGTGATATAGATAGATATATATATAGTATATGAGTGTGTGTGTGTGTGTGTGTGTGTGTGTGTATATATGTGTGTGTGTGTGTGTGTGTGTATGTATATATATATATATATATAATATTTTGGACACAAGCACAATTTTTTAGTTTGTCAGGTATTTACAAAAACATATTCAAGCTATAGATATGGGCTGAAATTGCGCACTCTCAGGTTTAATTTGAGGGTATGTACATCCAACTTGGAGGAAGGGTTTAGGAATTACAGCTCTTAAGAGTAGCCACCCCCCCTCTTTTTTAAGGGACCAAAAGTAATTGGACAATTGAATCAAAAACGGTTTCATGGCCAGGTGTGGGCTACTCCTTTTCATTATTTCTTCATCAATTAAGCAGGTAAAAGGTCTGGAGTTGGTTCTAAGTGTGGTATGTGCATTTGGAATCTATTGCTGTGAACCTACATCATGCGTTCAAAGGAGCTGTCCATGCAAGTGATATAGGCCCATTGTAAGGCTTCAAAATCGAAACAAATCCATCAGAGAGATAGCAGCAACATTAGGAGTGGCCAAATCAAGTTTGTTACATTCTGAGGAAAGAAGAACACACTGGTGAGCTCAGCAACATAAAAAGGCATGGACGTCCATGGAAGACAACAATGGTGGATGATCACAGGATCCTCTATGGTAAAGAAAAACACATTCACAAAATCCAGACAAGTGAAGGACACTCTCCGGGAGGTGGGTGTATCATTGTCAAAGTCTACAGTCAAGAGAAGACTTCACGAGAGCAAATAGAGAGGATTCACCAGAAGGTGCAAACCATTCATAAGCCTGACAAATAGGAAAGCCAGATTAGACTTTGCCAAAAAACATCTAAAAAAGCCAGACCAGTTCTGGAAAAGCATTCTTTGGACGGCTGAAACTAAGATTAATCTGTACCAGAATGACTGGAAGAAAAAAGTGTATAAAACATGGTGGAGGCAGTGTGATTGTATAGGTATGCATTGCTTCAAGTAGCACTGGGTCATTGGTGCTTATTGATGATGTGACCAGAAGCAGCCGGATGAATGTGTGTTTTACAGTACAGATGGACAATGATCAAAAACACACTGCAAAAGCAGTCAATCACCTGATCTTAACCTGCTCTCAACCCAATTGAGCATGCATTTCACTTGCTGAAGGCAAAACTAAAGGCAGAAACGCCCACAAAGAACAACTGAAGACAGCTTGTCAGGAATCAAGGAATGACCAGAAAGGTGTGGACTGACACAGGGAAACGCAGGTTTCAGGTATAGTATAATACAGGTTATTATTAGCCACCCAGATATATATATATATATATATATATATATATATATATATATAAAAACGCACAGTGAGCAAACCAACCTTCCACTAATCTTTAGGAGGTGCAGGAACACAGGCGTAGTCAGGGCTGGAGAGGTGGAACGGTCAGGCCGGCCGTAGGGTTCTGTAATGACCGTTTGGTGGTACCTCTAGCGGTCCTCAGGGCAGGATTCCCCAGGGCGCGGAGTCTAAGTCCCAGCCTGCTTATTCACCAGGGCCCCTGATGGTGGGGATGGACTTGGAGCAGACAGGAACCAGGTTGCGGCCCCTGAGTACACCTGCTAGTGGTAGAGGGATCCGCTACAGGTATGTGCAGGTACGGCTGGATCCGTGCAGGATGGATGGATGGATGGCAGAGTAGTTAGCGTGGTCAGACGGGCCAAGTCAGCAACGTGCGGGCAGCAAGGTACCAAAGGAGCAGGCAGAGAATAGTCAAGGTCACAAGCCGGGTTCAGTAACTCACGGACAGTGCGGTACAGGGGATCAGGCAGAAGGATGGTCAGGCAAGCCAGGGGTTCAACAGGAGACGGTAAGCAGAGGTCAGAATCAAGCCGGGTCAGCAACGAAGCAGGAACACAGGATACCAGGTACAGAGGCTCATGGGAAACCATACACCAAGGCCCAGAGCACAGGCCTGGTCATGCCTTATATACACCTTTCTACAATCAGCCCCAGGTTTGGCTGATTGTGAGCTTCTGGCTGCTAAGAGCACCCGCTGGTCAGCTCTGGTACTGCAGCCCACACGGCAGGCGAGTCCCATCACCAGTGCTGAGTCCATTCCTGACACAGCTGCAGTTAGAGCCTGGCAAAGCATCAGAAAGGAGGAAGCCTAGTCTCTGGTAATGTCCATGGGTTCTAGACTTCAGGCAGTCATTGCCAGTAAAGGATTCTCAACAAAATATTAAAAATGAACATTTTATTTGTGATTATATTAGTTTGCCCAATTACTTTTGGTCCCTTGAAAAGGGGGGGATGGCTACTCTTAAGAGCTGTAATTCCTAAACCCTTCCTCCAATTTGGATGTACATACCCTCATGTACATGCCCATATCTATAGCTTGAATATGTTTTGGTAAATACCGTGAAAAAACTATAATTGTGCCTGTGTCCAAATATATATGGATGTGTGTGTGTGTGTGTGTGTGTGTGTGTGTACAGTTGTGTTCAAAATAATAGCAGTGTGTTGAAAAAAGTGAATAAAGCTCAAAATCCTTCTAATAGCTTTTATTTCCATACACACAAATGCATTGGGAACACTACACATTCTATTCCAAATCAAAACATGAAGAAAAATATATCAAATTATGTTGTTCCTCTAAAAAAAAATTGAAGAAAAGTGAATATTAGACTGTTCAGAAAAATAGCAGTGTTTGTATTCTTCTTTACAAACTCAAACATTCACTATATAAACTGAAAAATGTTTGAAGATTTTGCTTTCCTTTGAATCACTTAATGAATATTTAGTTGTATAAGCACTGTTTCTGAGAACTGCTGTACATCTGTGTTGCATGGAGTCAACCAACTTCTGGCACCTGTGAACAGGTATTCCAGCCCAGGATGATTGGACTACATTCCACAGTTCTTCTCTATTTCTTGGTTTTGCCTCAGAAACTGCATTTTTGATGTCACCCCCACAAGTTTTTCTATTGGATTAAGATCCGGGGATTGGGCTGGCCACTCCATAACATCAATCTTGTTGGTCTGGAACCAAGATGTTGCACGTTTACTGGTGTGTTTGGGGTTGTTGTCTTGTTGGAACACCCATTTCAAGGGCATTTCCTCTTCAGCATAAGGCAGCATGACCTCTTCCTTGCCATTTTGGCTATTCTTCTATCCATTCGAATGGTAGTTTTTCACTTTCTTCCACGTCTTTCAGGTTTTGGTTGCCATTTTAAAGCATTTGCGATCATTTTAGCTGAGCAGCCTATCATTTTCTGCACTTCTTTTATGTTTTCTCCTCTCCAATCAACTTTTTAATCAAGGTACGCTGTTCTTCTGAACAATGTCTGGAACGACCCCTTTTTGCTCAGCGTTTCATAGAGAAATGCACTGTAATCAGCATGTACAACATTTGCTGCCTTCCTTCCTTTAAATAAGGGCAATAATTGCCACCTGTTTTTCAAAGAATGAATGACCTCACTAATAGAACTCCACACTGCTATTATTTTGAACATGCCCCTTTCAATGAGTGATTCAATTACACAGAATCAGCAGCATGCATGTCATGACTGTTGGGTCTGTTGGATTTCTATTACTCTACTACACCTGATAGTAAATTATTTGCCATGTAGAAATATCATTTCTACCAAAAACAGTGATTGATCAGGTTAGTGATGTCTGACTGCTATTATTTTGAACACAACTGTATATATACACACAGTGGGGATCAAAAGTTTGGGCACCCCAGCTAAACATTTATATTAATGTGCATAAAGAAGCCAAGGAAAGATGGAAAAATCTCCAAAAGGCATCAAATTACAGATTAGACATTCTTATAATATGTCAACAAAAGTTAATTTTATTTCTATCATTTACTCTTTCAAAATAACAGAAAACAAAAAAATTGCATCTGCAAAAGTTTGGGCACCCTGCAGAATTTATAGCATGCACTGCCCCCTTTGCCAAGCTGAGACCTGACAGTGTCATGGATTGTTCTCAATCATCGTCTGGGAAGACCAGGTTATGTCAATCTCAAAGGTTTTAAATGCCCAGACTCATCTGACCTTGCCCCAACAATCAGCACCATGGGTTCTTCTAAGCAGTTGTCTAGAAAACTGAAAATAGTTGACGCTCACAAAGCTGGAGAAGGCTATAAGAAGATAGCAAAGCGTTTTCAGATGTCAATATCCTCTGTTCGGAATGGAATTAAGAAATGGCAGTCATCAGGAACAGTGGAAGTTAAAGCAAGATCTCGAAGACCAAGAAAAATATCAGACAGAACAGCTCGCAGGATTGTGAGAAAAACAATTCAAAACCCACGTTTGACTGCACGATCCATCCAGAAAGATCTGGCAGACACTGGAGTTGTGGTACACTATTCCACTATAAAGAGATACTTGTACAAATATGGTCTTCATGGATGAGTCATCAGAAGAAAACCTCTTCTACGTCCTCGCCACAAAAATCATCGTTTGAACTTTGCAAATGAACATATAGACAAGCCTGATGCATTTTGGAAACATGTTCTGTGGACCGATGAGGTTAAAATTGAACTTTTTGGCCGGAATGAGCAAAGGTACGTTTGGAGAAGAAGGGGCACAGAATTTAATGAAAAGAACCTCTGTCCAACTGTTAAGCATGGGGTTGGATCAATCATGCTTTGGGGTTGTGTTGCAGCCAGTGGCACAGGGAACATCTCGCGAGTAGAAGGAAAAATGGATTCAATAAAATTTCAGCAAATTTTGGATGGTAACTTGATGCCATCTGTGAAAAAGCTGAAGTTAAAGAGAGGATGGCTTCTACAAATGGATAATGATCCTAAACGCACCTCGAAATCCACGGGGGATTATATCAAGAGGCGTAAACTGAAGGTTTTGCCATGGCCTTCACAATCTCCTGACCTCAACATAGTTGAAAATCTATTGATAGACCTTAAAAGAGCAGTGCGTGACAGACAGCCCAGAAATCTCAAAGAACTGGAAGACTTTTGTAAGGAAGAATGGGCAAAGATACCTCAAACAAGAATTGAAAGACTCTTGGCTGGCTACAAAAAGCGTTTACAAGCTGTGATACTTGGCAAAGGGGGCAGTGCATGCTATAAATTCTGCAGGGTGCCCAAACTTTTGCAGACGCCATTTTTTTTGTTTTCTGTTATTTTGAAAGTGTAAATGATGGAAATAAAATCTAACTTTTGTTGACATATTATAAGAATGTCTAATCTGTAATTTGATGCCTTTTGGAGATTTTTTTCATCTTTCCTTGGCTTCTTTATGCACATTAATACAAATTTTTAGCTGGGGTGCCCAAACTTTCCATCCCCACTGTGTGTGTGTGTGTGTGTGTGTGTGTGTGTGTGTGTGTATGTATATATATATATATATATATATATATATATATATATATATATATATATATATATATATATATATATATATATATATATATATTTTTTTTTTTTTTTTTTTTTTTTTCTCTCCTCACATCCTAACACTTGGGGAGCGTACAGTTTACGGTCCCTAACTCACATTCATACATACATATATTAGGGCTAATTTACACAGGAGCCAATTAACCTACTGGCATCTCATTGGAGTGTGGGAGGAAAGCAGAATACCTGGAGGAAACCCACGCAGCCACAGGGAGAACATGCAAATTCCAGGCAGGTGGTGCTGTGGTTGTGATTCAAACCAACACCCCTAGTACTGCCAGGCAGAAGTGCTAACTATTTAGCCACTGTGCATATCCTAGTATACATTGGAAGTGAACCAGAAAAGAGTGTGTGAGTGTGTGAGTGTGTGAGTGTGGACGTTACATCTGGTGTGGAGCAACAGGCAGGTGAGCAGGATCCGAGTAACTAGAAGATGGCACGTGGTGTGCAACATGGGAACACTGTAGCAGAAGGGGAGTAGGGACCGGAGAGAGGACTGAGTGGCAGAGGATCAGCAGAGCTGGGGGACCACAGCAGGAGAAACCAGCAGATGTCACACAGGGTGTTCAGAGGATCAGCAGTGCTGGGGCTTACTACTGAGTGGGGCATCAGCAGGGCTGGGAGAACTACAGACTACAGAGCAGGGGATCTGCTGAACAGGGATGCTAATGAGTGTGGGGGGTGTACTACTGAGCTGGGGGTTTTACTGGGCCCCTTAAAACAAACAGAAAATCAACACACACAGGGCATTTGCCAAGCTTCATTAAAGTTTACAAAACATGCACCAAAAAGCATGTTGAAGCAGAGGAAGTTTAATGCATTTTAAAGTTGGAAAAAAAGTGTAAATGATCCCAAAGTGTGTACTTAGCCACTTGGCATCCCTGATGCCCATGGTAGCATAGCCCAGTGGGGTTGAGGCAGGTTCAAAACTTTAGCTACAGCAGTGCATTGAGTTCTGTAGTCTTTGTAAGTGAATTTTGGCATTCTATAGTATGGATACATGATTATTCTTTCATTTTGAAATGCTCTATCCAGGTAACATTATTAAGAATGAAATCCTATACTTGGCACGTGTCCATCCTCTGTCATTGGGTTCTTTTCTTCCTGTGGAGACCCTGGTTGCTCTGATAGACCATGCTGTGACCTTCACTGCTGATTGGCTGAATAACAAGATGAAGAGGAAAGCACTGCACTACCACATCTACATGAAGGAGCAATGTGAAAATGGCCATCAAGTGGTCAAAGAGGCCATTGGCCCAACTTTTGGGCTGAAGAGGCTGACCTGGTATTGTCCTATATGCCAGAAACTGGCCAAGTCTGGAGATGCTGTGCCACTTGCCCTGGAGTAAATCCCCCTTGTGTCAGAGATGAAAGGGTGACGGAGATGAAACTGTAATTTTATGCCCCCTGTGTTCGATCTGCACCTCTTTGGTTCTTATTGTGCAGCCCTCAGGGCCCTTGAAGTCCATAGTCTGTGTTTTTTGTTACCTAGGTTCTTACTCAGGCTGGTGAAGGAAAAGTATTCATTCTCCTGAGTTCTACTTGTTAAATAGTTTGGTTTGTTTCCTTCATGCATCTACATGAAGGAACAATGTGAAAATGGACATCAAGTAGTAAGAGGCCATTGGCCCACCATTTAGGCTGAAGAGGAGGACCTGGTATTGCCCTACATGCCAGAAACTGGTCAGGTCTGATGCAGTGCAGTCTGCCCTGGAGTAAATCACCTATGGATTGGAGATGAAACTTATACCGTAATGCATCCCTTTTGGCACTTGTGCGGCCCTCGGGGCCCCTGGAGACAATAGTCTGAGGTTTTGTTACCTAGGTTCTTACTAAGGTCCATGAAGGAAATAATGTTTTTTTGCCTGGGTTCTTCTAGTTAGAGCTTATTATTATTTTTTTTTTTTTTTTTTTTTTTTTTAAATCATTTACACTTTTTTTTCCGTGCTGTCCAACCCTGAAACTTTTTAAAAAGGGTGGTAGAGAGTGCAAATGTAGAAGTGTTGATTTGTAAAGGGACTGTAATAGCCGTGATCCTTAGCAGTCATGTATTGTCCATGAAAGTCTCCTGAAGCAAGATAATCCCCAACAACCCCTGTAGCACTCCTACAGGCTCTTATCATCTCGTTAAAATTCCCACCCACTCAAAAAAAAATATATTTTTTGAAATTGAGCACTAATCTGCATGCTTGCCCCCTAAGCATAAATTCCCCCTCCTCCCAGTACAAATCCTTCCCCTACTGAAATCCCTCTCGCAGCACAAATATTTGCACCCCCCCCCCCCCCCCTCCCCAGATCAAATCCTCTCATTCCACATATGGCCCCAGCACAAATTCCCCAAAAGTCCCGCCAAAAAAAAAAATGCCTCCTAGCACAAAACCGTCTCCACCCCTTTACTATATTACCTTTTCTAGGAACAAACCCCTCAAAAGCCCCCCCTCCTAGCACAAACCTTCATCCTCTATTTCCCCCAAAATCACCACCTGCACACCTCCCCAAACTCCCTTTCCTAGAACAAGTCTTATCTCTTGCCACCTCCCAACACAAATCCCCCCCCAATCTCCTGGTGGTGCCCCCTACCTCACATGATGCAACCATGCCCAAGGCAGCTGCCCCTTCTGCCCACCCTTTATCTCGTTGCACAGCTGTGGTATCGGACCATGTCTCATAGCATAGTTGTATCTGACAACTGTAGTCTTTGATTACCTTCTTACTTTATATGCTTTCTGTAGGATTACATTTGTTGCTTATTATGTACAGCCCTTTCACAATGTCAAAGGCCACTCTTACAGCCTCTTATATCAAGACATTTGGCCACCATATATTTAATTTTGTTTCAACCCTGGAGTGGTCTTTAAGTTTTGATGGTTTTGTTTCTTTTTTGTTTTGTTTTTTTTTTCTCACATTTTTCAGCTAATAATTGTGGCTGCTTTCTGTAGAATAAAAATTTGTATTCATCAAAGATGTCGTCATTGTCATTTTTCTAAATTTTTTCTTTTTAATCTGTCAGATACATGGTTTACACGGGTAATTGCGTAAACATGTGTATGAACATACGTCCCTGTATGCAGACAGTATGTTCATATGTGTGCTTGTGTTTACGTAAGTACTGGTATACAGTCATTCATTTCTATGGGCACAGTTTTAAACGCCTTTTCAGGCTGTAATCTTGGGTGGGTTGTCAGGGGGTGGTAAAACCGCAGCTTAACTGTTTTTGTCCTTAGTCAATTAAATATACTATTGAAAGTGTTTTTGTGCATTTGTTCCATATGTACAAAAAAAAAAAATACATGTAGATCCTGCTGGAAATCTAGTGAGCTAATCCTCTTGTGTGCTCTCTGCTTTTGCTGTTACTATTGTTCCCAGATCTTTTTGTGAACTATAGAACACATCCCATATATTATCAAGATGAGGAAAGAGGGGGTTGTTCTGTAGTGCAAACAGACTTCTTGTCCTCGGGTGACAATACAGCTTCTCCATAGATTTGGCACAGCGAGTGAGTGCTGTCATGTTTTAGTCAGAAATTGTTTCACTGGCAGAGAGACCCGAGGAAAATGAAGAAAAATTAACTTGACAAAGTAAAACTAATGCAACCAGTACATCTATTGACTGCTAAGCTACAATATAGTACATTACTCCCCCCCCCCCCCCCCCTCCCCCCCCCCCCCCCCCCCCCTTCCCTTTTTTTGTATAGATACACTTTAACTATTGGGCAGGTGCTAACCCTACTGCTGTGTGCCCATCAGAGAAATTACCCGTCATTTACTGGCCTTACAGGAAATTACGGCATCATCCCAATAGGGGACACGGATGATGGCAAAAACCAGACAGAGACTCTAATTCTTTGGATGGAGTTGAATTTTAACCCCTTCGCGTCTAAGGGTAAAACAAATCGTAATGCCTAAGCAAAATTTTGCAACTTTTAACGTGTTAGGAAAACTGTACATGTACAACTACTTTTGTGCATCCAGGTGGTTTATACCTTGTTTTTTCATGACAAATTGGACTTTCATTTGGTGAAAGGTAATGGATATCTCTTGATTATTTCTTTTATTTATTAATTATCAAAGGAAACCTGCCCCAAAATAGTTAAAAATAAAAATGTAGCTGTATATTTCTTGCTACTACCATAACCTACCACCAAAGAACAACCCAAAATTAAATTTTCCCTCTCGTGACGATCTCAGCAATACTACATATATGTAAGTTAATTGTTGGTTGTACCCATAGTATGGCCCAGAAACAATAGTGTGGTTTGTTTTTGTTTTTTTTTTTTATCCTGCCTAAAATACACTGATACTAATTTAAAAATGTGACCCTGATTATTTAACCTTTTGATCTGGACCTTGACCCAAACACTCAGCCGCTGACCTAGATCAAACCTTGATCAAGGTATTGTTCATTTTTTTGTTATTATTATTGAAAAAGTATTCATACCCTTTTGAAAGTTTCCACATTTTTTTTTTTTTTTGTTACAACCAAAAACGTAAATGTATTTTATGTGATAGACCAAAACAAAGTGGCACATAATTGGGAAGTGGAAGGAAAATGATTAAATGGTTTTCAAATCTTTTTATAAATAAAATCTGATAAGTGTGGTGTGCATTTATATTTTACTCTGATGCTTCTAACTAAAATCTAGTGGAACCAATTGCCTTCAGAAGTCACCTAATTAGTAAATAGAGTCTACCTGTGTGTAATTTAATCTCTGTATCAATACAGATGTTCTGTGCAGCCCTCAGAGGTTTATTAGAGAACATTAGTGAACAAACAGCATCATGAAGGCCAAGAAACACACCAGACAGATCCAGGATAAAGCTGTGTAGGAGATGAAACACCTCAAAGAAGAGGCATGGTGAGCCTTTTGAAGACTTTCTTTTTTCCCGAAGGTTTTTTGAAAATGTGGAAAGAAAATCTTTTTACTATTAATAAAGTGAGGTGAGCAACGATCTTTGTTTGTGGCTTTCCTATGTGATATGACAGAGCCTATGAATAATGTAATAAAGTGTAGAGCAACAAACTAATATCTCATATAAAAAACAATTAAAGTCCCATGAAAGTGTCTTCTAACACCACTGTGCAATGTGTACAAAATATATCTTCTCACTTCTTCAGTGCCAACTGTGCCACCACTATTAGGTGAAAAACCTGCTCCCCTCACTATGACCTCATCAGTAGGTCATAATGCGCTCAATAAGTGGACAGACTTGTGTACACCCTCTGTGGTCTTGCTCCAGCTTCTCTCCCAGCACCACCAAAGTATACACTCCTCAAGCTGACGCTCTCATAAAATGTGTATTATAGAAAGTGGAACCATAGTGCTCTCTATTTAGAAAACAATTTATTAGCGCCCAGATTAAAAACACTTTCAAAATGAAGTAAGCCGGCATATAATGTATATTTTGTTACATGGCTCACCACCCCGCTCTCCCAGATGGTCATCAGTTCAAAACATCTAGGGCTCAGCGCCTTCCATCTATACGCGTTAAACCCTAGATTCAGGCCTCCTAGGAGGGATTATTTATAGTAATAATACCAGCCCATACCAGTACCCCACCTCCACCCTGCTGGCATCTGAGTCATAGTGGAGCTCTGTGCCCCTTACTGATACAACCACAGGTCCATCCATCTGGTCTGTCAAGAGTCAATCTCAACTCCTCATTCCATAAAACCATTGAAAAATCCGTCTTCAGAAGTTTCTTGGCCCAGTCTTGATGTTTTAGCTTCTGTGTCTTGTTGAGTGGTGGTCAGGTTTCAGCCTCCTTACCTTGGCCCCTGTGCCCCTTACTGATCCAACCACAGGTGCATCCATCTGGTCTGTCGAGTCAATCTCAACTTGTCAGTCCATAAAACCTTTGAAAAACCCGTCTTCAGATGTTTCTTGGCCCAGTCTTGATGTTTTAGCGTCTGTGTCTTGTTCAGTGGTGGTTGGGTTTCAGCCTTCTTACCTTGGCCATGTCTCTGAGCACTGAACACCTTCTGGGCACTTCAGGTATGTTGCAGTTCTGGAATATGACAGCACTGGAGGATAATGGGGTCCTGGTAGCTTCACGTTTGGTTCTTCTCAAATCTTTGGCAGTTAATTTGCATCTTTTCTTCTCAACCTGTTTCTTGCAACCCTGTTGACTATTTGCAATAAAACGTTTGGTTCTGTGATCATGCCCCAATATCTTAGTAATTTTAAGAATGCTGCATCCCTCTGAAGCACTTTTTACAATTTTTGACATTTTAGAGTCAGTTAAATCTCTTTTTTGGCCCATTTTGCCTAAAGTAAAATAAGCTGCCTAATAATTATGCACACCTTGATATAGGGAGTTGATCTCCTTGGGCCACACCCTCCAAAATTACACAAATATGCATAAAAATGATGATTAGGTCAAAATACTCACTTGCCTAATAATTGTGCACAGAGTGTATGTTTGTTATAAAAGTATTCCATACAAAATAATGCACACCATGGTATGGGAATATTTATTGTAGCACATCCATAGCGCTGATCACATGGCTGTGGGACACTGTTTATTTTATTTTATTTTCTGCCAAATCCGTGGTGCAGGTAGATTTGTTTGTTGTTGTTTTTTTTAGTTTTGTTGCATGGGTTTACTACCAACAGCCATGGACAATTTAAATTTTATGCAAAATCGGAATATACAATTGGGAGAAGTATTTCAAGTTATAGACATGGAAAAGAATGATAACAAATACAATGAACAAGCAACTATGGATCTGGTGGGATATTGTTACATATTATTTATTATTATTATTATACAGTATTTATATAGTGCCAACAGTTCGCTCAGCGCTGTACATTACAATGGGAGACAATACATGAGACAGTATAATAACAATACAATGCGATGCACGAGGGGTTCGAAGGCCCTGCCCCTTGGAGCTTACAATCTAGGAGGGGGGGGGGGGATAGTGGTACGGGAGGAATAGCAGTGGGGGATGGAGTGGTAGGAAGAGTGGAGGAGATCGGCAATTAGCAGATAGCGGGGTGGGATTCCCTGAAGAGGTGGGTTTTCAGGGTGCACCTAAAGGAGATGAGAGTAGGTGATAGTCGGATGGATTGGGGTAGGGAGTTCCAGAGAATGGGTGATGCCCTGGAGAAGTCCTGGAGGTGGGCATGGGAGGAGGAGACCAGGGAACTGGAGCGTAGGAGTATGGAGTATGATATGACACCCAGAAGATTGAGATGGGATTTGGGCCCTAATGACAGTTTGGAGGACCCAAAATTTAATGGAGGAATGGTTTTGGTTTTTTTTACAAAATAATAAAAAAAACTTTTAGACGTCATTGTACATAGGAGAATAGAGGAGAGTAAAGTTGGCCATAGTAGAATCAAAGATAGTGGTCATGAAAAAGATGGATCTGTATGTAGAGACTACTGAACATAAAGAGAATACCCCTTTTTCACTGCAGAGGCAACAGTTGGGGGTGCTCAAATGCGGCAGCTGTGATGCTTTGCTTCGCAGCTGTGGCAGGATTTGTACCCCCGACACTTTCAGTGGGCGTAGTGCAATTTGTGTTCTGCCTTCAGCAGGGAAATTCATCATTCCTCCCTGCAATATTAAATTTGGGCACTAGATGGAGCCCAGAATAAATGTATTGTTTTATAGAAACTAGAGACTGTTTAGCCTTAATGAAAAACTCATTCAACTCAAGAAAAGGGAACAGGTGCATCCTGGGAGTTTAGACTCCATTTAAAAAGAGAAGTGGGGGGTTTCTCCCTGAAACTGATACTTAAATAGGTGGCTGCAGCATTGGTCCAATGCTGCATCTGTCCCCTGCCGGCTTTAAGTGCGAGAACTAACATCAGCGATTACATGACTGAGTTCTCATCACTGCTGTGAGCAGAAATTGCTGACTGTCAGTCACCACTGTCTGCTCCGAACCCCCAATCCTTACTGGAATGCTGGGCTGTGGAGGGGGAGTGGCTGGCTCGGCTCTCAACAGATCGCTGAGAGGCTGAGCCAGGTGCAGCTCCACACTCCGGGGTGGATCCCGACTTTAAAGTTGGGATCTTTTCCCAGCTTGGACAGGCTGAGTGACATCAGCCGACAGCTGCCTTCAGCCCACTGTCAGCTGAAAACGGGCAACAGGAGTGCAGAACACACTGCACTCCTGTGATCAACAGGAGAAGTACAGCCAAAGAGCTTTGGCTGTACTTCTCCTTTGGGAACTGAGGGAAAGGAACCAGCCATATTTCTCTGCAGCACATGTTGTGGACTGAACTTGCATCCCCTAAAGGTGAGCATGGACTTATTGTCATCTACAGCCTAATCATTTCATTGTGTTTGTATATTTCATATATTAATATGTTACTAAACCCACAACAGTAAAATCAGTCGGTATACGCAGTAAAGAATGCTTGTTATACTCACTGTGGAACCTAAGGGGGTAATCCTATGCATTGTGTAAAAAGGTTGTTTGATCCTCTTTTCTCTGCCCCTCCTCTTGTTCAAATGTCCCCCTCTTATCTCCTGATAAGACAGACTGAACCCGTAGCCACATGCCCATGCTCAGTGTGGTGTGTATTGCTAGAGAGGTTTCTTTTTCCTTGAGAGAGTGCATGTGATCAGCTCAGGGCCAATTCAGCACTGTCCAGAGGGTCAGGGGTTTTGCATCCTCCTAGAGCAGAAAGAAAAATCCTCCTACAAGCTATAACCAGTGCTCTGCTGGACACTGATAGAAGTCACAAGACTACTGTAACTGCTGATGAGAAAAGGTATTTAGCAGTTTATATTTACTAAATTAATTGCATTTCCATGTTGTGTGTACTGCGGGAGACCAGATATAGTAAATGCTGGGTCCGGGGAGACCAGATATAGTGAATGCAGGGTCTGGGGAGACCAGATAGAGTGAATGCAGGGTCCGGGGAGACCAGATATAGTGAATTCAGGGTCTGGGGAGACCAGATATAGTGAATGCAGGGTCCTGGGAGACCAGATATAGTGAATGCAGGGTCCTGGGAGACCAGATATAGTGAATGCAGGGTCTGGGGAGACCAGATATAGTGAATGCAGGGTTCGGGGAGACCAGATATAGTGAATTCAGGGTCCGGGAAGACCAGATATAGTAAATGCAGGGTCCTAGGAGACCAGATATAGTGAATGCAGGGTCTGGGGAGACCAGATATAGTAAATGCAGGGGTTCGGGAGACCAGATATAGTGAATGCAGGGTCTGGGGAGACCAGATATAGTAAATGCAGGGTCTGGGGAGACCAGATATAGTGAATGCAGGGCCCGGGGTATGGTAACACTTTAATTATATGTTCATCTTATCTGTTTTTCTTAAGTTTCACCCACCTTGTTTTGTTAATAAGGTTTCAAGATTACATTCAGTCTAGCTTACTGCAGAATATGAGGGTTTAGCTGCATGTTGAGTTACACACAGGGAAATATGTAGAAAGGTTTTGTGTGATTGGTCACAGCGATCACATGGTACAGGGTGTCTCAGGGACACATCGATCACAAAAGCTGCACATGCGCAGATGATGCTGGGGTGACATAAGCAGGGGCGGACTGACAACTCATGGGCCCCCCGGGCAATAGGGGATCATGGGGCCCCTGTGTCCTTGCCCACACTCAAAAAAGCCTATAAAAAAAGGTACCAGGGGCATTTCATGGGGCACCCTACTGACCTCGGGCAGTGCTCGAATGGTCAGTCCGCCCTGGACATAAGGGTACATCTACTCACAGGGCTGCAGATAAGGGGTACAGCTGTTGTGGAGGGGTGCTCACAGAGTGGCGCATTCACTCGGGAAAAGGCTGAACCTCCTTTCACCGCATTAAACATGGCTGCGAGGTGAGGGGCCAGAACATCAGCCAGTTTTTTATAGTACAAGGCCGTGTAGCCATCAGGTCCTGGATGTTTGCTAGTCTTCAAATCGGCGATACAGCGCAAGACTTCCGATATTTGAATATCATGGTCCATCAAATCTCCATGAGCTTGAGTTAGAGTAGGCAAAGACAGACGAGATAAAAAGTCAGAGATAGCATGGGGTTCTGCCCGAGTAGGGTCTGTGTAAAGTTTAGCAAGGCGGTACTGAAACGCCTCCAACACCTTTGCAGGATTACTTGTTGGGACATTAAGTCAAGTATGCAAAGAGAGCGGTTTTGGATTGTGTGTAAAAGAACGCAACCTGCGCGCTAGCATAGAATCCAGTTTATTTCCTTTTACTGTACCACTTCTCACATGTTCAGCATAAGGAGTGCTCGGCATTGTCTGATAACCACCTCCCGTCCGGCTGTTGTATATATAAATGGTCGGACGGTGGCACTGCAGGGTCAGGTGGCCGTTTATAAACAACCTCCCCGTCCCCTGCCTGTGCGCGTTCCCTGGGAGCGCATAGCACCGCAATCCTGTGCCCGCTGTGTCCTCCGGACACAGTAAAACACCGATCGTCGGACGGGACCTCTGTACGAGCTCCCAATCTTGTGATCACTGATTGGCCAATCTTTGATCACATGCAAAGTAGTAATCAAGATGTCACTTGTGACATCATTGCTTACTACATGTGAAATCTGTGAATGATCACAGAGGTCACATGGTACAAGGCTATTCACAACAGCCTTGTACCATGTGACAAGCTGTGACCAATCACAGCTCTCACAGTAGTTCTCAATGGCTGCAAGAATGCAGAGAGAAAGAGAAATGATTGATTTTACATCCTACAGTTGCAAGAAAAAGTATGTGAACCCCTTGGGATTACGTGGAGTTTTGCATGAATTGGGCATAAAATGTGCTCTGAACGTCATCTAAGTCACAACAATAGAAGAACACAGTCTGCTGAACATAATACTACACAAACATTAGATGTTGCCATGGTTTAATTGCACATAACATGTAAACATTCACAGTGCAGGGAGGAAAAAGTATGTGAAGCCCTAGCTTAATGACTTCTCCCAGAGCTAATTGGAGCCAGGAGTGAGCCAACCTTGACTCCAATCAGTGTGATGATATTGGATGTGTTGCTGACAGCTGTCCTGCCCTTAAAAAACACACACCTGTTTTGGGTTTACTGGTTTCAAGAAGCACTGTCTGATGTGAACCATGCCTCGCAGAAAAGAGCTCTCAGAAGACCTACAATCAATAATTGTTGACTTGCATGAAGCTGGAAAGGGTTACAAAAGTATCTCCAAAAGCCTTGATGTTCATGTGTCCACGGTAAGACAGACTGTCTACAAATGGAGAAAGTTTAGCACTGTCGCTACTCTCCCTAGGCGTGGTCGTCCTGTAAAAATGACTGCAAGAGCACAGCGCAGAATGCTGCATGAGGTAAAGAAGAATCCCAGAGTGTCAGCTAAAGACCTACAGAAATCTCTGGCACATGCTAACATTTTTGTTGACACATCTACAATAAGGAAAACATGAAACAAGAATGGAGTACATGGGAGGACACCATGGAGGAAGCCATTGCTGTCCAAAAAGAACATTGCAGCACGTTTGAAGTTTGCAAAAGAGCACCTGGATGTTCCACAGCACTACTGGCACAATATACTGTGGACAGATGAAACCAAGATTGAGTTGTTTGGGAAGAACACACAACACTATGTGTGGAGAAAAAAAAGGCACAGAACACCAACATCAAACCTCATCCCCACTGTGAAACATGGCGGAGGGAGCATCATGGTTTGGGGCTGCTTTGCTGCCTCAGGGCCTGGACGGATTGTTGTCATTGATGGGAAAATAAATTCCAGAGTTTATCAAGACATTTTGAAGGAAAACGTACAACCATCTGTCCGCCAACTGAAGCTCCGCAGAGGATGGGTGATGCAACAGGACAATGACCCAAAGCATACAAGTAATTCAACAAAACAATGGTTGCAACAGCACAGAATACGCCTTCTGGAGTGGCCCAGTCAGAGTCCTGACCTCAACCCGATTGAAATGCTGTGGCATGACCTTAAGAGAGCGATTCACACCAGACATCGAAGAATATTGCTACACTGAAACAGTTTTGTGAAGAGGAGTGGTCCAAAATGACTCCAGATCGTTGTGCAGGTCTGATCTGCAACTACAGGAAATGTTTGGTTGAGGTTATTGCTGCCAAAGAAGGGTCAACCAGTTATTAAGTCCAAAGGTTCACATACTTTTTCCTCCCTGGACTGTGAATGTTTACATGTTATGTGCAATTAAACCATGGCAACATCTAATGTTTGTGTAGTATTATGTTCAGCAGACTGTGTTCTTCTATTGTTGTGACTTAGATGACGTTCAGAGCACATTTTATGCCCAATTCATGCAAAACTCCATGTAATCCCAAGGGGTTCATATACTTTTTCTTGCAACTGTATATGGGTGTAAAAGCAATCAGTGTAAAAAAAAAAAAAAAAAAAAAAAAAAATCACCCCCACAAGTAGTACAGTGTCACCATGCTAGGGTGACAGTATGTAAAAAAAACAAAAAAACAAATAATATAATAAAATAAAAAGGTAAAAAAAATTTAAAATTATAATTTTTGGTTATAAATAGAGATGAGCGAATTGAACTAGGCGAAGTGGAATTCGTTTCGAATATTAGGAAAATTTCGATTTGCGACGAATCCGAAAATTAGCAGACTTCGGATGCGCGAATCGAAATTTTTCCTAAAATGGCGGCGACATGTGTGGCGACGGAGCGGGGATGTCTGGGAAGGCGCGCAGACAAGGCGCGCTGACCCATAATGCATTCATTCATGACATGTGATCGCATTAGCCAATCAGTAGCCAGCCAGCCAGCACTGTGTAATGGTCGAGCTATAAATGGCGGCCATTTTAGAATTCTTCATTTGCCTCCAGTCATTCAAGAGAGGCAGACCTGGCTGTATTGAGGGAGAGAGTTAGGGACACAGAAACGTTACTTAGGGCCACAGAATCGTTACTTAGGGCCACAGAAACGTTACTTAGGGCCACAGAATCGTTACTAAGGGCCACAGAAACGTTACTTAGGGCCACAGAATCGTTACTTAGGGACACAGAAACCGTTACTTAGGGACACAGAACCGTTATTTAGGGACACAGAATTGTTACTCAGGGACAGACACAGAATTGTTACTGAGGGACACAGAATTGTTACTGAGGGACACTGAATTGTTACTCAGGGACAGACACAGAATTGTTACTCAGGGACAGACACAGAATTGTTACTCAGGGACAGACACAGAATTGTTACTGAGGGACACAGAAACGTTACTTAGGGACACAGAATTGTTACTCAGGGACAGACAGAATTGTTACTGAGGGACACAGAATTGTTACTGAGGGACACAGAATTGTTACTCAGGGACAGACACAGAATTGTTACTCAGGGACAGACACAGAATTGTTACTGAGGGACACAGAATTGTTACTCAGGGACACAGAATTGTTACTCAGGGACAGACACAGAATTGTTACTCAGGGACAGACACAGAATTGTTACTCAGGGACAGACAGAATTGTTACTGAGGGACACAGAATTGTTTACTGAGGGACACAGAATTGTTACTCAGGGACAGACACAGAATTGTTACTGAGGGACACAGAATTGTTACTCAGGGACACAGAATTGTTACTCAGGGACAGACACAGAATTGTTACTGAGGGACACAGAATTGTTACTCAGGGGACACAGAATTGTTACTCAGGGACAGACACAGAATTGTTACTCAGGGACAAGACACAGAATTGTTACTCAGGGGACAGACACAGAATTGTTACTGAGGGACAGACACAGAATTGTTACTGAGGGACACAGAATTGTTACTCAGGGACAGACACAGAATTGTTACTCAGGGACAGACACAGAATTGTTACTGAGGGACAGACACAGAATTGTTACTGAGGGACACAGAATTGTTACTGAGGGACACAGAATTGTACTCAGGGACAGACACAGAATTGTTACTCAGGGACACAGAATTGTTACTCAGGGACACAGAATCGTTGAATTAAAGAGTATGTCAGACAACATGCAGAGGAGTGGCAGAGGAGGCAATGTTTTAGGAGCGAGCAGACGTGGCAGCAGAGGAAGGGGTCGAGTCGAGG